AAGGAGAGAGAAAGAGGGGGAGGAGAGAAAGGAGGATATAGAAAATGTTAGTGTTGCGATTAATTTTGCAGCGAGTGTTACAACGTCGTTACACCGGCGCGATAACGAACGACATGAGCGTTAGGTTTATCGCTCGACCCTACGTGATTACAATTTCGCACGAGGGATGTACTGGACGCCGCGTTCTACGTAATATAAAGTCCAAAGCGGAAAGAGAGACAAAAACAGGGCGGCAAGGCGCGACGTGTTTACGCAAAAAATTAAAGAATAATATTGCCATTTTCTCAGGCAATATCTTGGCACACGCGCGAAATCTTTATATTCTCATTTCTGCGCGTTTGGAAACGCGAGGCCATGCCTGACAACGCGGCGACCCCGCTGTAGACCTCGCCTTCGCGTAGGCGCAAATCGAATTTGTCATAGGTAATTAATCGCACGACGACGGAGCAATCGATGAAGCTGCTAGCCTGGGCTATCAAGCCGAGTACACCAGTGGCCACTTGTTGTTGTGAATCTGCCCGTTACTTAGGTATCCGAAATGATCGGCCATTTTCACGAAAGGTGGGTAATCAATCGCAACCACGGCCAAGGGGGTCAATTCACGAGCGAACGAGGCATTGCTTTGTCAATGCCAGTCGTCGATTCTTATCTAGAGTGGTGCGCGGCCGGTTCTATGTACTTTATCGTTTCATCGCTTCGTCCCTCCCTCGGGTTTACCCCGTCGAAACGCCGAAAGCGTGTATTTTATTTCACTTTGTCTTTTCTCAAGCGCAATTTGTTAGTCGACTTGTGTTCGCGAGCAACGTCATCGAGCGATAACTCTGTCGGGAATAATTGTTCAAGTAGAAATAATTTATGCAAAAAAACGCACGTATACACCCGAGTATCGCGACTCCATCGAGATCTCCTCGGGCAGTTGTTACCCACGTCGCGTCCGTGTGCCACAATCTCCGACGATAAAAGGAAAGATAGAACTCGCCGCTCGGCTTAGCGGGGGAACATCAAGCTCGAATATAGAGGTCCCGCCGTCTCCGTTGCCGCGTGCAAACAAAATTTGAATATCAGCTATGAGATAGAAGGTCGGGTAGAGATTTGCGAGGAGGGTGGGGTGCGACAGAGTGCTTCGGGAGAGAACGAGGGAAAAAAGGAGAGGAAAAAGTGGAGAGAAAGAGAGCACGAAGAGTCACGATGGGAGAATGAACGAGCCAGCGAGCTCCCTCCGCTTTAGCTCTTCGGCCCGACGGAAAGCCGGAAGGCGCAGTGCCGTAGGAGGACGCGGAGTACCGGGACGAAGAATAAATTACAAAACCAGAGGGAATTAACCGTCTTGAAAATGAAGCAGGCAGGCGTAAGTAAACTCAGACGGTGCTCCTCCTCCCGCCCTCGCTGTCGCTTCCACTTCCCCTCTCTCCCTCCCGTGGTCCTCGGGGGAAACTTTTTAAAGGCATTAGTGTAAATCGTGCACACGTCTTTTTATTCACCAGCCCTCCCTACTTCCGTCTCTTTCTCTACATTTTCTTGACCCGCAAGCTATCTCTTCCGGTTTCGCGTGACCCCGAATGCTAAACTTACTTCACGCGGCAGTAGTTACAGTCGACACGCGGGCCGACATCGCCGTTGCAACATAAACGCGGCGCTTCATTAATGCCCAAACATTTGCTAGATAGGAATGACTAGACATTTTGGATTAGCCGTGTCCCTTTCTACGCATTCGTCATGACTGTCGAGGAATCGGGAACAATGTTCGAAAGCAGCCGTGATAGCGTGATAGTTTGAAGTTTCAGTTCGCGTAAGATAACGTTTTGCCCGCTTATTTACGTTACGTAATCAGCAGGAAGGCGATACAACATAGTTGGATTACATTCCAAGAACCCGAATGCTGACATATGAACGATAGATAAATCTTTCAAGAGCCATTATGAAAAAGAAGAGTAAGGGAGTTGAAAGACTAAATAGATATATCACCCTCCAGCGTGAAGCTTTTTACGCGGAGCGGATGGCAAACATTAACTTATGAAAACTAAATCTCAAATTGTCAAATTATCATGACTACATCTTTCTTGATTCCTCAGATACTCGACAGACAAGATGAATGCATATGGCTAGTTCAAAATATCTAGTGATTCTAGTAAATTCTAATAATCTAATAAATTTTAATAATCTAATAAATGTGTTTTTTCAAGTATTAATAAAATCGCGTATGTACACAGAAAGAGAAATTTGATTGTATTAACGTAAAGTTTGGTTTTAACGAGTAAACTCGAACGCGTTTTGGTTGATGTGCATAGAATCTCTGGTTCTCTCAGAAGCCAAATTTGTAATTCCATATCGCAGAAGAGAGCATCTCCCGCGTCTCGACGCCGATCATGTATACAGTTCACGGCTATACGATTAACTGATTTCGGTTAATTCGTGGCTTCCACGTGCGCTTCTGCTCCACTTTCTCGCGCGTTCACAACGGGAAACTGGCAAGAGTAGAGGTAACGAGGAGGGAAACACGGGAGATCGAACTCGGCGAATGGTAACAGACCGCTATCGACGAGGTCGCAGCTTGTGCGCGCGTTCTTCCGCATGCGAACACTTGAGGACGATGAAATGGTGGATCAGAGGCCGCGACGTGGTGGTCTGATTGCAGCCGATGGTTTATTAGCAATTGGATTGCTTATTAGCTGTGTCGCAGCGATGGGCGTTCTCCAAGAACGACAAGCGGCACGGAATAACAAAGAGGCGAGTCCCGATAATACGTCGGATCGCGCGGCGCGGCACGCGGATCCGCAATTGCTGGCTGCCGGCAATGCCGAAGGAGGCGGGGGAGCATTTCATCCCGTCCCGTTGGCTGTGTGGAGCTACACCGACGTGGGTAATCACGACGTCTTGGCCGTCTTCGCCTTAATTAACCGATAATTCAATTAAGCGAGAAACCATCGAGAGAATCCTCGTTAGCAATCGGGACGTTGGATACTTTTATATGTTTCGAGTAAATATGTAACGACAATACAGCTCCGTCAGCCGCCTACGCTCTCGCGTATCTAGATGCAACTCGACATAAACACACACACTCACGCGCACAGACTACGTACATGACGACAGAAGGTTGGTTGATTCGCGAAATGCGTTCCACTTCACGTTTGATTCCGAGGAACCGATGCGGCAACGACTACGACGACAACGATGAAGAAGAGAAGGAAGACGATACCTCGCGGGGAAAGCTCGCCGACATTTCCAAGGAGTTTCCTCGTCCGAGAAGGAAGGTAATCGACTCTGCTTAGGAACGACCCTTGAGAAATTCACCGAGCAATCGAGGGGACGAGCAGCAATTTACTTGGGAGTGCGGACGAATGCGGTCGCAGGGAGGTGATATAACAAGACACCCGAAATTGCGGCGTGATGAATGACTCGGGCAAGAATATCCAGCCACTCGGGGCACTCGCGAGATTTCGCGTCGACTCCCGCGACTAAGTCCCAAGCCAACCTGAACGAACGAAGCAACGAAGTCGTAAGTTAGATATTCCCGCCCGCGTTGTCGGCATGACAGCTGTCACATCTCGCGTATCTCCCTGCTCGCCGGGCGACGAGTCAGCGTTTTCGGGTTTGTGATTGATCGGACGACCCTTCAATTACTCAACGGACGAAACAGCGAGTCGCACGGCGGTGGTCGTCGCGGTGGCTTGGAAAACGGCCAAGAGGTCCAAAGTACGCAACAAGCACTCGCTCGATCGTCATACAGACGACTTTATCCAGCAGTTCAATCTTTTGCACGTTTACTCGCCCCAACGTGCAGACGATAAATAATTTCATTCAATAATTCGACGGCCGAACTGGTATAACGGCTTCACCCGGCAAGTGGTGAGAGATACAGATTCGACTCCTGACTAAAACAGTAAGTTTCTCGCAACTTCAAAAATATATCGAGTAAATGCTCAATTGAATTAGAATAAAGGAGACACGGGAAAAGAATCTAGTTGGACTAACGTAACACGTTTGATTGATTAAGCAAGTTTTGGTGAAGATAAATAGGTTTTCTGGTTATTATAACGAGGTATTCTAGCATGCAGAACAGTCAGTTGTAATATTTCTGGATCCGGTCAGACTCTAGTTACTGCGTATCCAAGTGTCTGATTATTATGACTATACACAAAAAAAACATGATTGTATTAACGTGACATGTTTGGTTAAACGACTGTTGGTTGAACCAAATCGAATTTCTGGTTATAATGATCACATATTCTGGTATTCGATGCTGGTTACAACATAAGTAGACAATATATGAGGGAAAGTCATTAATTAAAGGCAATTTCGGTACAATGAACACGAAACCGATGTTTCCCTGAAATTTGCTGGTTCATATTGCAAAGCAATTATCTGAACATATATTACGTGTTCGTGTTGGCAATCCTGCTATTCGCGCATGCACAGTAAAGCATCGAAGATGGCCGCGCCACTGTCAGATTGCACTGTCAGAGGAGCAGCGAGCTGTTATACATTTTTTGCGCTCGGAATGTGTGAAAACAAGTGAAATTTATCGCAGGATGATAACTCAGTATGCAGACAGTTGTTTAAGCCAACATAAGATGTACGAATGAGTTCAATGATTTACGAAGGGCGCAGTGTCCGCGATAAGAACCGACCAGGTAAACCAATAACCATCGCGATGGATACAATCAAAGCGCAAGTTGATACGCAAATTAGGGGATTCTAAAGAATCACAAATTGGTGACACCGCTACCAAATTTTTTATGTCAATTTAACAAAACGTTGTACCGAAATTGCCTTTAATTAATGACTTTCCCTCGTCTAAGAGATCTATCAATTGGAGAAGTAATGTAGCGAGACGAGTCACAATCCGGAAGTCCCGAGGTTCGAATCCCATACGGAAAAAAATGTTTGAATTAATCAAATATTTGGTCGAATATGGACGATCCAGAAATTCCGATTGAAGTAACCCGAATTCTATTTAAGTCAACCAAACCCTTGTTAACTTAAACGGAATTCGGGTTACTTCAATCGGAATTTCTGGATCGTCCATATTCGACCAGATATTTGGTTAATTCAACCAAACCTTTTCTTCCGTGCATCAAGGCAAAGGCGATACCATATCGATTAGATACAATATAATATGGAGTCAATTAAATGGCTAATTCTGAGCAAAAATAATCATAGAACAACATCTTTAAAGCCGGAAAAATTTCAGCGCATACATCTAACACTCGAAAACATTATTTGTACGTTCTTCTAAATATTATTCGCAACTATATGGAAAAAGAGAGATATGGTGAATACATAACCAGAAATATTTTGTTGTAAGTAATATAGTATTGCATCACTGTTGTAATCTTTGTATAAATGGTAGTGTGTCCGGTTGATAAGACTCAGTTACTTTGGTCAACATCGATTATATCAACGTAGTTGCGCGTGATCTGGTTATGGCAACTAGAAATTGGTCGGGGTGGCATTTATCATGATATACTCTGATGGGAGAGCAATCAGCTATCGTCACTGTAACTCAGCAATTGCTCTGTGGTTGCAGCGACCACATAATCAGTTGTTTCGTATTTTACTGTTGTATCTGCTCGACACGACTAGATTAATGTGCCAGCCAACCACACCGTTTTTCCCAGGCCTTATAGTTCTCTTAATAAGCGATTTCACCGGGAACTGCTCTTGTGGCTACGTCGTGTCAACTCACTATGAGTGTGACAAAAGTCAAAAGATCATTTCCTTCGTCGTTTTCGACGACAATTTATATTGGATGATCGCCGCGAAGGTTTCGCGCAAGAGCTTCGGAGCTCCAGAAATGGATGTTTGAATTCGAAATAAGTATGTATCAGTGGCGCACAGAGGTACGTGCACGAACCTCGTACAAGTTCGGGAACTTACAGTGGAAAGCACTTAAAGAGATGTACAAAATCGAGGCGGCTCGTCCTCTCGCACGAGCGAGAGCGACGAAAGCGAAACGCCTCAACTCCCGAGCTCTTCGAAACGCGAGACGGGGAAACTCGATATAAAATCGGAAGTAAAGAGACGAGAAACGCACGCGCGCGGGCGCGCGCGTGTGTGTGTGTGTGTGTGTGTGTGTGTACCGAAGACAGTTTCTTAAGCGTGTTCTCTTTTCGGCGAGCAGCCGACGACGACGGCGAGAAGAAGCGGCAATATCGGCCTAACGTGTTGTTAGAGAAAATCTCGCTGTTCTACTTCTTACTCAACCACCGTTCGCGCCCCGGACTCTGTTCGAGACCGTTCCGCGTCAGCTGTTCTTTTTACTTCCAGGACTTTTAGTTCCAGGATTCACGCTCGTCCGCTCACTTAGTTGCTCTTCGCGCGATTCGACAGCGCCGTCGGCTACCGAGATTTCCGGCAGGGGAACCTACGTGGGAACACCTGTTCTCGACTGAGAAAGAAAGGGAGGGAACCCGTCTCAAAGAGCACACGCTGGAGCCCGCTCCTTCGCGGCCAACCGACGATAATTAATGAAATCTCACGAGCGCCCCGGGCCCTGACGCGACATCATTTATTACTCATCGAAAAGATAAGTTCCTTACATTATTGAAGATCGATGGACGAGGGGAGTTTGCAGAAAGGGAGGAACGTTTATTCCGGCCAGGCAGAAAGGAAATCGTTACGCGGAAACCTCGCGGAGAGAAGGCTCGCAAGGAGCCGCGGTAATTGCCACTTTAATTTCCGCGTAGGGTGTTTCATTAATATTAATAAAGCGCCGACTATTTTCCTCGTGAGATGTGAAGGAGAGCACGAAGGGAGGACCTCGCGTACGTTCTCCTGCGAGAGAGAGAGGGAAAGAAAAGAAGAGAAAATGCGACCGGCCTAGTGAAAGACGGCGATCGTAAAAGCGGAGAGAGGCGTCGAATTAACTGGTTGGGCGCATGTTCCGTGGATGACAATCATTAATTAAACCGGGATCATTAAATGCAACGAGGAACAGGGCGCAAATTGCCCGTCGTAAATTTCGCGCGACCTCGTAGATCATCGGACGAGCGATGTCTCGCGACGGTGTCTCCTTTTTCCTGCTGGCCGCGACGCGACGCCGCGCATCCTCCTTCCGGCTGCGATAAATTCGAGCGTGCAGATGCATCTCGTAACACATGAGAGAACGAAGAGGACGGATCTCCCATTAACCGGGCTCGCGAGACTCGCGGCGACGAGCTCTTACGTTTCGCGGGTTGATCGATTGCGAGACGATGGGGCGAACGAAATCGCGATCATCGACGTCGGGGCGGAACGGTAACTGTCTTAGCGATTTTCGATGACCTCGTTCGAGAGACGCGCGCGCGGACGAAAGTAGGATCCCTCGCAGAAAGGAAGAATATCGCGGGGATATATATCGTCGTGACTTCGCCGAGGCGAGATCCGCGGCGGCGGCGAATCTCCCGCATCTCTCTCTCTCTCTCTCTCTTTCTCTCGCGCGCGCGCGTCCGCGTCTGCTATTTTTGCGAAGATCGAAGTTACCGATCCGCGGGCCGTTACGAAACTTCGACGGACGCTTTTAACCCGTCCTATCGGCCGAGTTATATTCAGTATATTCGCTCCGATAACGTGCATACAGAAGCATACTCAGAACACCGTGGAAAGAGGCGATGGTAGCCGGGAGGGCAATCACGAGAATAACCGCTCGGCAGGTCGATAATATCGCCGTGAGATCGACGACGGAGGCGACGCGATCGCCCGTGAGAACGCGTCGTATCGTAGTATTCCAATTAAATGATTCCGCGGAAACAATTTGCAAGGGGCTTACCCTCGGGCGTTACTAGAAACGCGCCGGGCAGCGCCTCCTCGTGTTGTCCTGGGCGTCTCTCACGAACCATTTGCGTAAGGTCGCGCGAGTCGCCGGACCGGAAATCGAGCTTGGAATACGTTACGACGCTGATGCGATTCCACCCTCTGGCGCGTCTATCGAGACACAAACCAACTTTGTTCAACTCGCCCCACGATTACGTTCGATCGACCGACTGTCTCAAGGATCGCCGCCTTTGTCCGTCACTTACACCCGTTGCTCCTCGACGTTATCGACGGACTTCCTCGATGGTCAGGCAATAAAAACTACCAGCCGAGGCTATGCAATGTAATGTCGCTCGGGGTGCACCGTATAAATCGTCCCCTCTCTCTCCTGAGCGCTGCCTCTCCTTCACCTTATTTCCACCCCATCCAGTCGTTAACTGGATATCGCGGCGCTTTAACTCTTTTTAATCGCGCAGTTTCGCTAAGGAGATATAAATAACACTCCCCTGCACGCAATCGCTAATCTTCGCAAACGAGAGAAAGAGAGGGAGAGGGGAGAGGAGGAACAGAAAGAAAGAGACAGAAAGAGAGAGAGGCTGCGTATCAGATGCGAGATAGAACGTACGAAATTTGTTGCGCACCCGCACCGACACAACCTAGCGTAAATTTCTTCGCCTAACGCGAATTCCTGAATCTCAAAGAGGTGCGAGCTCCGAGCAATCGCGAATCGATACGTTCGTATTCTCCACTTCGTTGACGTAGCTCCTTGAGCTCCTTGAGCGATCTATCGTCCTCAAACTGTTTTCGCTTCGTCTTATAGGCGCGCATTTGCGCGCGCACGCGAGACATTCCGTGCCAAAATTTTGATTCTACACTAATCCTGTAGACACCGTGGGATATGAAGGATCAATGAGAAATCTCGAGATATAACGCTATACAGACTATTGTCCTACTGTGATAAGTAACTATAAGTTACTTCACTGCTATTTTAGCTGCTTATTTTATTATATACCAAGTTTTAAAGAAAAATTTATTTCAGAATTATTTAATGTTCGATATTACCCCAATATTTTATCCGCACTAGATCTTTATTCTTAATTACGATCAGCAATATATTGATTGTACGGATTATAAAGTCATTAATTACAAGCAATTTCGGTAAAATCGACGTGAAACTGATATTTCGCTAAAATTTGTTGGATCATATTACAAAGTAGTTACTTAAGCACACATTACGTGTTGATAATCCCGCTATCCGCGCATGCACAGTGAAGCATCGAAGATACTACACAGTCAGAGTGCACCATCAAAAAGTAACGAATTGTTATACGTTTTTTATGGTAGGAATATGTGAAAACGAGAGAAATTTATGGTAGAACGATAGCTCAGTATGGAGACAGTTATTTAAGCCAACGTAAAGTGTATTAGTTGGTCCAGAAGTTTACGGAGGGCAGGTGCAATGTCCGCGATGAGAACCGATCGGGGGAGATCAACAACCGTCGTGACAGATACAATCAAAGTGCAAATTAATACACGCATTAGGGAGTCCCGGAGAATCACAATTGGTGACATCGCTATCGAATTCTCTATGTCTAACCTAGTAAAACGGTATCCCAAAATTGCCTTTAATTAATGACTTTCCCTCGTACAACTCTCAATTGCAAACAGGATACGTGAGAGATAAGCAAATATTAAATAATCTTATAAAGATTAGGGTGCAAGTAAATGAAACAATTGTTTATTCTTATAATTTCTTTTGTTTAACATTGGAAGTGTCGATAAGATTTGTAACTTAAAAAAGCTGATTAAGAAGAAGCTGATTAAGAAGAAACTGATTAAGAAGAAGCTGATTAAGAGAAAGCAAAGTTAATTGCATCCGATAATACTCTGTTTTCAATAGAGATTTATATTTGGAATCAGCACAAAAAGTAGCAAAGGTGCAAGAAATAAAAAGAAAACAATGACAAATGTAAACAAGGTCGAACTTGCTGCTAAAGGAGCATTATTAGACGTGGATATCACTTACAAGATTTACAATGAATTCTAAGGCGCCGATGTATTCATAGTTGTGAATTATTCAAGAGTCTTGATTGAAAGCATAATTAGTCGCAGACTCGTATTTATAGACCGTCATTCGGTTGGCTGTATTGATCTTTCTCGTTGTATGAAACAAATAGTAACAGACTACCGCGTGTTTTTTCCGTTGATTGCACAAAAGCTCAATTGACGATTAAATCATTAACAACACGATAAATAAATATAATTTTCGATGCATATATCTTCCACTGCGATTTATATCAGCGCTCTATTGGTACCCCGGTGATTTTTCAAACACAATTAATCATACTTTATACATAATTCAATGAGACGCGACAATATCACAATATCGGTCACCGGTGACGCGATATTCAATATGTTGACGAATGTTCAAAGATTCATAAAGTTATAACCATTTATTAAATTTGCTATGAAATGCCGGCCTTTCGAATATAAACAATGAATTTCGATATTCGGGATACATCTTTATTCATTCTCGGTGAGTTCGTCAAACGTCCGTTAAGTTCAGATACATTCCGCGTAATGAGTGATTTAACATACCTGGACATGTCTTGACTGTTCGACTCAGCATCCTATTTCCGACTGCCTCATTACAGTCACTCACTGGCACACTGACACTCGTTTAGATACGATTCGATCGGAGAAACGCGTGTTAATTAACCGCGATCAGCTGGCGAGAATCAAGTATTTCCAGAACCGGCGAAGTGTCTCGATCACTCGACGGGAATTGTACAAAAGCACTCATCGAAATTCGTCTTCCGCCGCGTCGCGATGTGTGCGTGTTGTTTGTCAGCTCGAGAGGTAATGACTTGGGCAGGTGCGCGAGCGTTCCAAAACAATCATCATGTTCTTGGAATGAACAAAGTTAAGTACCGTCAATTGCAAATAGTCGCCGCCCGTCAAACAAAGACGCGTACACACGGCGGTCGAGCAATCACGACAATCAACATACTCTAAACACTCCGGGCCTTTGACGTAGTCAAATTATGAAATTGCCAAATTATCAGGACGGTTGCACGGCATGTATCGGAAATGTCGCTCGTAATATTTGACGATCGTCGTCGGTTAACGTGCGATTATTAATTAACGTTGCGTGCCCGATCGATTCGTATTTTCGTACGGCAACATTGAGCGATTGACCGCAATGACGACCAGGACTCTGACTTTAGGACGGATCATAGGGCGCGGGATGTAGCTGAATCGGATGCACAAGCCCTCCTCTTTTCACCTCTTTTGAATCTTCAAATGCTATTGAGGCTTTTAACACCAATAAGAAATAATAATGCAGAGACTATGAAAAAGGAAAGTTGTTATTTCATCCACCCACTTATCTGTTAATCCTTCTTAAGTTATTTAATATTTGCTCATCAAGAATTGAAGAAAGTTAAATGCAAGTGAAATTGTAAAGATGATGGAATATTAAATAATTCTTAAATGAGTGCTTCCTCTCTCACGGCTTCAACATGGAGGTCCAACCTTAACTATTGAGATGATAGAATATTAAATATTTCCTAAACGAGTTCTTGCTTAAGTCTCAACAGATATGGCGGTAAATACTTGTAGTGTCAAGAGAACGATGGCTTGTATAGTGTTACACTTTGAGATTCTCTATTGATCCTTTAAGATCGACCGAATTTGCAGTGAATTTAAAATCATGCAAAACTAAAATTTCTCGACTCGTTTTCACTTGTACCATGAATTTTATTGGAAAATATTGGTTTTGCGAGCGACGATTTACAGGAATTTTTGGCATTTCCTTCCTTCTTTTTTCCTCTTTTCCTTCCTTCCTTCTTTTTTTTCTTTCCTTTCTCTTTCTCATGTTGAAAATACGCTTCGTAAAATGAAAGCCACGAGGTGTTTACGGGCAACGGGGCTTAGCCTGCCCGTTTAGTTTTGAGGCGTTCGAGCGAACCGAGAAGGATTTTGCGGCGCGCGGCACGCCGTCACCCCTTTCAATGGCCGCTCTAACCACCGACTTTTCATCGCGATCACCCAGCCGTCCCGGTGACGTATTCGCGAAAATCACCGCGGGCGACGAAGTCCGACACCGCGTCCTGATTGCCGCACCGTCGACCTTTGCGCCGCGTTACGCGCGTTTTACCACGGAGAAAACAAAACAACGGCATCGTGTCGCGACGATGGGCGGAAAAAAATAATCGCGCCGTTTCAATGAACGGTTCTCGGTGTCTAAACAAGAAAGGAAAAGAGAAAGAGAGAAAGAACAGCGTGAAATCTCACGATCTCGGCCGAATGATTCAGCAAATTGCCGCAGGGGGACAAATTTACGATAAAATGACACCTTTCTCGTCGATTCTCGGAACAAATCAAAGATTGATAAGCGAACGATAAGCATTCGCGTGAATTTAACACACACATAACCAAACGCGTGGGGCGAAATCACTTAGTAAACTCTTTCATCAGATACGACGGAATAGAGTGAACTCGTGTACACATACTCTCGGCCAGCGTCGAGCGTATTCGACCAGAATTTACGCGTGCAGATACCATTAGGGCGAATTCAATACGGTGTACGCGCAACCACCGTGATGTGTCCTTCGTCAAACTGAACGAGACAAATCGGCGGAACCGATTCGGGGCGTTCCGTATCGGGGTCGGAGACGCAATTAGCGATGCTCAAAGCAAACCGCTGATTTTCTGGATACAAGCGCTTTCCCGGACGCGCTTTTCCCCGGTTCACTTATCCTCGTTTTAATGACAGATATATAATAAATACAAGATTCCCCTTTGCGTGTCTCCTTCTTCGACGAAAAAGCTCGCACGCTTCGCAAACGCGAAGCTCACTTTCGAATTGAATAAATCACTTCAAATAACTGATCGCGACTGAGCGCGGACGTCTCTTGGACAAATCTCGTAAACGCGAAACGTCGCAAAAAAAAGCAGCAAGAAGAAAACGTTAAAGTATAGAAATGTTAAGGTAAAACATATCTCATCTCTCTTTTGCATTCAAGTTTCCAATTTTCCCGATTGCAAACGTATTTTTCATATATTGCAGGTTACCTCAACTATGAGCTGTCTCCATTATATCTCTCCGTTATATTCTTTTCACGAGATATAAGAGAGCGGGAAATATATACATATATGTTTATATGTATGCATGTATTACATATATAAATCTTTAGGACGCTCAGCGACACGCCTCCACAAAGTCGAGTACACAAAAGATGGTGGAACGACCGCCTTTAAAGTAACGCGCGAGAAAAATACGGATTTTATCGCCCTCGGGCAAACGCTACTCGCGCGCGAGCGTGGACTATCCTTTACGAATCAGTATCAGATTTCGAAACTGCTTAAACGAACCGTCATACGGTCGCACGACACTGTTAACCTCTTTCGGGTCTGCTCAGAACCACTTTGGGGTTAAACTCCCGATGCACCCTCGCTGTTTCGGTGCGCCCGTCGATATTTTCTCGGGGTTACTTTCCGTTCTTCCACGTCCACTTCAGCGGGTCGATTCCTGCAAGCAGCTAAAAGCCCACATTCCCAAATAGAAGTTTATCTTATGGTCTTGTTCGAGATCCGAATCAGTTGTATGATTTGTACAAAGTGATGTTATCGAGCTCTAATAAGTCATGTGATGCAGCATGACAATCGAAACTTTATCAATATAATGACCATTAATAATTAGGACATATTATACATTGGGAAAAAAATATTTAAACATTCATTTGCGAGATATAAAATCTATGTGTAAAAAGCAAAATTTATTTCTGTGGAATAAAGTTTACATCCCACACAAATAAATTTGCAAGTACTTTCTTCTTAATGTATAATATATGTACAGACTCTCGAAGTATACAATTAAATTAAGAATACACAAGGCGAGTAAGAACTTCACGTTGATGTTGCAGCAAATATTTAATAAAAGCACGGAAAAGAAAAAAATTAACATAAAGTTCGATTGTAATGGACGAACCCTCTCTCCTAGGTGTTTTGGTTGAAGGAAACGGAATTTTTGATTCTTAGAATCAAATTTGGATAACCTCACAGAAATTCTGTGTTCTTCGAACAAAACGGGTCGTTCATTAAAATCAAACTTTGTGTTGAAACAACTGAATTTTTTTTCCGTAAACTCAATAATATTTGACAGTGTTAATTATTCGCGCGCATTAACACTGTCAAATATTATTATCCTTCCGTTATTAAATATTTGCTCCAACATCAGCATTTCTCACTTGCCTCGTGTATTCTTAATAATTCAGATCCGGCAACATCACACACGTTGTACACGAGCCGGACAATTGATTGTGAATCAACCAGATCAGAGTAAATTTCTAGTCGGGTTAAATCGCTCATGCTGCTAATTAACCTCCAGCGCTTTCGCGAAATTTTTCAAAAAGGACATAAATCACGAAGCAGCAAGAATTCCCGAGGAATTCGCGCTAAGATTCAACGCGAAAAATAGAGAAACGACTTCGCGTGAGAAACCGTAAATTCTCAACGATTTCCAATAATTTCCTAGCCGGAAAGTCGTTGCAGTTTTCATAACGCCCGTGCTGTGTTAGCGACGATAAAAAAGAAGAGAAGTTTCTACGTAAATATCTGGTATATTGCGCCGCGTCTTATGAATATTTAATCGCTCCTCGTTCGAAACGTGTACTAAAAAGTGCAGGCACACCACACCTATAGACGGGCTCGCGCATTTTCACAAACACGCAATTGATATGAGCTCGAATGTTTGCACAGAAAAAAAAGATGAGAAAAAAGACAGACAGAAAAAAAGGATGTAATCTCATTTGAGGATTAACATGTCAAAAATCAAGATACTTCTCAAACAAGAATATCTTTTTTTACTGGTCGATGAGGCCTTAAACCCGAATCAGATTAGCGATTGCCGATTAATAATTGGCGATTAGTGTTTAACCAATCAGAGCAACACAATCAATAGCTAAAATTTGCTTTAATTGGTTGAAAACTAACCGTCAATCGACAATCGCTAGTCTAAATTCGAGCCTTAGACGTGTTTAAACGTCGTTATCTCAAGCCGTATCAATCGGTATTGATCGGGATGTTTCAAGGATTGCAATGCGTACAACAGGAAAGAGCGCTTGTGGGAGCAGATACAACGCCATATATTTTTTCCATTCTCCATTTAACGCTTCGACGTATCGCCACGCGTGGGCGCCACGCTCTCGGAGCGATTTGATAAAATTGCCTTATTGTTAAAGCTTCCCGCACACAATGACGCATTATCACATCTGCGCTGTACAATGGAGACACGACTTGTACCTTACCTACGCTTTTATCGCTTTCTTATCGCACTGGGTGTAAAAGAGAGAGAGATCTCATACACTGGAAGTCAAGCTTTACTGTTTGCTTGGCCACTGCGAAGTCGGAGCCTGAGTGATCGAAGGGGTAACACTTACTGGCGACATATGGCCGCATGTTTTCACCGTTCCCATTTTTTTTTAGAATAAACTTCGTGCGGTGAGTGCTGACTCGCCGCGAAATGCAATAACGCACTCGTATCGATAATAATAGCTACACGATTAAAGGCAGAGCATTGCGCCTAGATAAAACTCACCTGTGACTGGCGACAGAAATTGCATGGACGGGATTATAAGGACTGACAAAGTCATAGTACTCACCTGCAACAGAAAAAAGAGAAGATACAACATTAATATCACATATACATTTGCTTGGTGCGGTACGTAACAATTAAGTTGCGGAGCTTTACTCGCTCTCGCAGGAAGAACTCCGATTTTGCACGGTGCGCGAGAAATGCTCTAATAGAGATAACAAAAACGGAAAAAGGGTAAGCGTGTACTCAGACGGAAGAAAAGAGTCTCGTTAACGGACAATACGCGAGCGTGTATCTCTGCTTACAACAAACAAAATACGAGAGAGAGAGAAAGAGAGAGAGAGAGAGAGAGAGAGGATCTCTCCCTCTCTGAAAATTCTTAGAAAAGAGTACGATGACGGAGCCATTATTGTTGGCAATTAACTGCGTTTAAACGCGCAGCCATGCGTGCAACGAAGCTCGCCGCTAAATGCGAACAGGCGCGAGACAACCGTTTTAATTATGCCGTCACTACTCATGAATAAACATGAAATCCCGTGGATCTGACGTCCAAAATGTCTGCGATATCACGTGGCGAAACATGGCGATCTCTCCATCAGGCCGGAAGAACAATGAACAGGAATACCGGATAATCTTCGTCACGCAAATAGAGTCCGCTGCCCAGCAGGACCCACAGTATTTTGTGCCGAGGAATCAAAAATTCCACGGCAATGCGCGAACAAAGGTCGTCACTTAAGGTCCGCGACGAAGGTCGTTCGAATCGTTCAGGATCTCAATGGAGTCATTCCTTTCCTCGAGCTGTGTACACTCGGTTTCAAAACGGTTTGCCCGAATCGAAGTTTTGGCCCTACTTTGGATCTTTTCTGAACTTTCTGTGTATCTTGACGGATCAGTGTATGCGTGATACATGTACAAAATTGAAACTTTATTTAGCGTTTCTAAATCGTAGAAAACGTACAAAATGCCACTCGAAGATTCTAAAAAGGATCACTCGACAAAGCTAGTAGATTAAATAGAATCAAAAGAAGTTGATATAGGCTTTAGAATAGTTGGGACTTCAGAATAAGCCTCAAAATAGGCGTCGAATGGGATTTTGAGATCAAAGTAGGACAAAAATTTCAACTTGGGTGAATACTCTTTTGCGATGTACTTTGTAATGCAACCGGTGATCCAATAGGAGAACTTGTTTTTCAAAAATTCCCGATGATATAATGGTAAAAGTTTTCCCATCGGATTACCGGTTGTGTTTTCAAATGCACATGATGAAGAAGTGTTCAAAACCAGTGTACACATAGACAAAAATATACAGAAAGAAATGAAGAAGAGGACCGAAGAAACGCACACGTGTTCGCGAACGTGGGAGCGGACTTATTAACTTATTATCGTAAAATAAGCTGCTTTTCTATCGCGGCTAAAATCACACGTTCGCGGAGGTTATATCGACGCATTTTTACGGCGCTCTTTTTTTATGGTAACATACTCCTACATAGAGTGTAGTTCCTACGGCTAATGTTTAAACAACGCGGTCGCTTTGTACGCTTGCGCATACATACAAATGTGCATAGATTCGCATCGTCGTCCTCGTTTTCGCACGATGAAAGACCACATCTGTGGCGCCGCGCTAATGGTGACGGCAGCAGCCGCGTGTCGTTCGCCTAATTGTGAGTAACTTTCTTCCGGCCGACGTTCCAAGCACGATCTCGTATCTGTTTTGTACAACGCGCTCAATAACGAGGGAGGTAGCGAGCGAGCGAGTGCAAGCATATTCAATGAATTTATCGAGACTCCTCTCTAACGAGATTACGCGGTGGAGTTTCGGGATTTGCGAATGAAGCGGCTAATTATACGTTAATTGTCAACACGCATTCTACTCATTACAACGAGCATTAATATTAAGTAATTAGCGCCGACGGCATTTATTTGTGGATATATTCGGTGTTGTTAGGAGTATTATTCTCCACGAAGATATTAGAATAACGATGAGAGCTATTATTTATCGTTTATTTAACTATATTTCACGCTCCTGTCTGGAATAAAATTGTTTTTGCGCGTCAGCGGAATACGCCCGGCAACCTGCTGTAATCGTATTACATTAATAATCCTTTCCCGTATTTTCTTTCTGATATAAAGATACAATTTTTTACGAAAGATCTCTCTCTCTCTCTTTCTTTCTTTATCTCTTTGCGCCTCTCTCTCTCTCTCTTTCTCTTTCTCTATCTTTCTCTTTCTCATTTGCGACGAGGTGAATGTTTTCTTCTGCACTAGCAGAATATTATCATATTTTAATAATTCAGAGAGGCTAGGATTTCGAGCCGCAAGAGACGAGCGCTGTGATGATAGAAAATATTATGATACACGACCGGCAGAGGACTCTCTTTTCGCCGTACGCTCTATTGACTAATCTTATCAGCGTTGTCATAAAGGAAAATAACGTGATCGCGGGAGAGAGCGAGAGAGGTAGATAGATAGAGAGGGAAGGAGAGAGAGAGAGAGAGAGAGAGAGAGAGAGAGAGAGAGAGAGAGA